ATTGTATGGGTCAAAATTATCCATTTTTCTTTTATGCCAAAAATCATTAGGATATTAAGTAAAGATCATGTTCCATAAAGATATTTTGTAAATTTCCTACCGTAAATATATCAAAAATATATATGCATTGCTAAGAACTTCATTTGGACAACTTTAAAGGCGATTTTCTCAATATTGTCCTATCCTAACAAACCATACATCAATGGAAAGATTATTTATTCAGCTTTCAGATGATGCATAAATCTTCATTTTGAACACTGGTTTTGTGCTCCCATATTGTCACGTATTTGAGTCACTTTGAACAAATGCAAATGTTTTAAGGAAGTCAATGGTCAATTTCACAGCGACTTTAAGCAGTCAAGTCAAGTCAAGTCACCTTTATTTATATAGCGCTTTTAACAATACAGATTGTGTCAAAGCAACTGTACAGCATTCATTAGGAAAATAGTGTGTCAATATTGCAAAGTGACAATAGTAAACACTCAATTTTCAGTTAAAGGCAGTTCATCATTGAATTCAGTGATGTCATCATCCAGCTCAGTTCAGTTTCAATAGTATCTGTGCAATCAAGTCGATGATATCGCTGGAAATGAAGTGTCCCCAACTAAGCAAGCCAGAGGCGACAGCGGCAAGGAACCAAAACTCCATCGGTGACAGAATGGAGAAACCAGGCTTAGTCGGGAGTCCAGTTCTCCTCTGGCCAGACAAAAACCAGCAGTTCAATTCCAGGCTGCAGCAAAGTCAGATTGTGCAGAGGACTCATCTGATTCCTGTGGTCTTGTCCCGGTGGCCGTCTGAGACAAGTTTCAAGCAGTTTGAGTGTAGTCAGTAGTGTAGTACAGCTGATCTCATATCCTCCCATAAACCCAAGCGCTGGTTTGATCGTGTGATCGTGTGTGTTCAGGGATCTCCTGCTGCTAGAAGAGCCTTCATCCCACAGCTGCGCAGTGGCAAGTTCAACGTGCTGATCACTACATACGAATACATCATCAAAGACAAGCATGTGCTGGCCAAGGTATGTGTGTGCCTCTGTGTGGTCACCTGTGACCTTTGACCTCGGTCAGACGCGCTGATGAGATCCTGTCACCTGACACAGATTCGCTGGAAGTACATGATCGTGGACGAAGGCCATCGCATGAAGAACCATCACTGTAAGCTGACGCAGGTGTTGAACACGCATTACCTGGCTCCGCGGCGTGTGCTTCTGACCGGGACGCCGCTGCAGAACAAGCTGCCCGAGCTCTGGGCGCTGCTCAACTTCCTGCTGCCCACCATCTTCAAGAGCTGCAGCACGTTTGAGCAGTGGTTCAATGCTCCCTTCGCCATGACCGGAGAGAAGGTCCGTCTGTTTAACTAGTGCTGAGCACATCTCTGACACCGAGCCGTTATCACAGACACACAGACTGATTATGAACATGAATGCTAATCATGCTTGTGTTTGTGTGTTAGCCTCTTTCTTATAAGGATGAATCAGACTTTTTTTTATTCATTATAACTTGATTATTTATCAAGAAAATGAACAGAGAAAAGCTAAAGTTAGTCATCGCTCAGGAATGGACTATAACTGTAATAACAACTATTCTAACAGTCATCATGCACGCCAGCAGTCAGTAACGCGGTTTATTTTAAGCGTGCTGCTGTTTTGTCGTCTGCTGCTTTAAATGCTCGAGCTCTTTAAAGTCGAGTGGATTCTGATTGGTTGATTATCCTAGTTATCGTTTTAGTGTGGACTTCACTATTCAAATATAATTAGAGCCATTAATAAAACTTTAGAGTTATATAAACATATAGTTATCATCCTTGAAGATGTCACCTGACATTTCATTTACATTCACACGTTTGGCAGACGATCTTATTAAAAAACAACTTACATTGCATTCAGTCAGATTATAGATTTTTATCAATTCATGCATTTCCTGCCAATCAAACCGGTGACCGTAGCGTTGCTAGCGCTGCCCTTTAGTGACATGAATCTTGAAGCAACCATTTTAAGCAAAGTAGTGAAATGAATTCAAATGTACTTCTATGTTCACATCATTGTGATGAAATAAACTAACCAGTGTGATTCCATCCTGAGCCTTTAATGTGTGATTCTGCTCGTCAAGACACGCTGGGAAATGAAGAGCAGTAGTAGACGTGACTGATGTGTCTCTCAGGTGGATCTGAACGAGGAGGAGACCATCCTGATCATCCGCCGCCTGCACAAGGTGCTCCGCCCCTTCCTGTTGCGCCGGCTGAAGAAGGAAGTGGAGGCGCAGCTGCCTGAGAAGGTGATTCTGATGCAGTCTGTCTGTCATCGCCTCGGACAGATGAAGCATTGTGCTGTTTTGTGTCTGTGTGCAGGTGGAGTACGTGATCAAGTGTGACATGTCTGCGCTGCAGAGGGTCCTGTACCGACACATGCAGGCCAAAGGAGTGCTGCTGACCGACGGCTCAGAGAAGGACAAGAAGGTGAGCAAGAGACAGTGTGTGTGTTTCAGGGTAAATGTGTGTATGTGAGTGAGTGTGTGATTATGAGCGTGTGTGTGTGTTTCAGGGTTGTGTTTCAGGGTTAATGTGTGTATGTGAGTGAGTGTGTGATTATGAGTGTGTGTTTCAGGGTAAATGTGTGTGTGATTATGAGTGTGTGTGTGTTTCAGGGTTAATGTGTGTGTGTGTGTGTGTGTGTGTGTGTGTGTGTGTGTGTGTTTGGGGGTGTGTGTGTGTGTGTGTGTGTGTGTGTGTGTGTGTGTGTGTGTGTGTGTGTGTGTGTGTGTGTGTGTGTGTTTCAGGGTTAATGTGTGTGTGATTATGAGTGTGTGTTTCACGGTTAATGTGTGTGTGATTATGAGTGTGTTTCAGGGTTAATGTGTGTGAGATTATGAGTGTGTGTGTTTCAGGGTTAATGCGTGTGTGATTATGTGTGTGTGTGTGTTTCAGGGTTAATGTGTGTGTGTGATTATGAGTTTGTGTGTTTCAGGGTTAATGCGTGTGTGATTATGAGTGTGTGTGTGTGTGTTTTTCAGGGTTAATGTGTGTGTGATTATGAGTGTGTGTTTCAGGGTTAATGCATGTGTGATTATGAGTGTGTGTGTGTGTGTGTGTGTGTGTGTGTGTGTGGTGGGTAAAGGCGGCACTAAGACTCTGATGAACACCATCATGCAGCTGAGGAAGATCTGTAATCATCCGTACATGTTCCAGCAGATCGAGGTGTGTTAGTGTGTCTGTCGTGGTGTTGGTCATCGGATGAACGTGTTTCATTTCTTGTGCCGCTGAACGTGATGTGCTGCTTTTCAGGAGTCGTTTTCTGAGCATCTGGGTTTCTCAGGAGGAATCGTTCAGGGGTGAGCAGTAGAAATGCTGTAGAATTATCTGACACACATTAGACGTCTCCAGCACTGAACCTTCGTCTCGTCTGACCTGCAGGCTTGATTTATTCCGCGCCTCGGGAAAGTTTGGAAAGTTTGATCGTATTTTGCCCAAATTACGAGTGTCCAATCACAAAGTGCTGCTCTTCTGCCAAATGAGCCAAATGACGACCATAATGGAGGATTATTTCGCTTACCGCCGGGATTTTTTAATTATTTTAATATGTTCATTGAGGTTTAATATAATGTTAATAAAGTTAATTTTTTCCACAAAAAAAACAAAACAAATAAATGTGTAAAAATGATCATTTTAAACCCTCATTTTGACCCTCTGTCTAAAACGATCTGTTTTAAGGGGCAGTTCTTTAAGGCTTCTCAGTAATCAGACACTGTTGTGATTGGCTAACGTCACTGCATAGGAAACAGTCGGTGCGTTCCAAATGGGATATATCGCCCTCCGAAGAGCACTTCGGGGTGAAAACAATCATGGCCTCCATATTGAAGGGTCGTTCCAAACCGAAGTGCTCAAAACTGGCCACTTCAAAGGGCCCTTCGGAATGAAGGATTTCGAAGGGTACAACTGATGTACACTTCGGGCTCCCATGATCCTTTGCGTAGATTCTTTGCGTGATGACGGCGCCTCCATGTGGGCAAGTGATGATGACGCAGAAGGGCACTTCAAGAAACATTTGTTTGGCTCCCTACACCCTTCAGCCCTTCGAAGCTCTCACTCCGGAGGGTAAATAGGGCGTAGGGATGAGCCCTTGCAAATGGAACACAGGGCTAATCAATGCACCCTTGCTATTGCATGTGAGTGTTTTTACAACATGATCAAAATAAAACGGTCATTTCCAGACAAAGCATTATGAAATTATTTACTTATGGTTTGTGATGCAGATCTAGCACCACTTCCTCTTTCAACAGATGTTTCTTTGTGACTCTCCATGACACTGTGCCTCGTTTACAAAACAAAATGCTCCGACACGATCCGGGACGCCATTAAAAATACATTGTCCACTTGTTCCTTACGCGGGGAAACTTCTGATATCTGTACAAAGACGCGAACGCTGTTTAAACCAAACGCATCAAAGCGAGCGTTCTTTCACTGCATTAGTCCTGATGACAGACTCGAGCGCTGGACTGTCAGAAAGAGAACCGCATCTGTTTACTGTATCCAGTGCAGACAAGATAGCGCAGTGATCCTGATTTCTATTTGCATTTGACACGATGCGACGCTAGCATTCAGCGTGATCAAGTGCTAGCCATTAGCGACTGAACGCCAGTGGGCGGTGCCTATGCTTAGAAGACTATTCGCCAATGTGCTGCTCTGGAGGCGGAGTTTATGCAAACGACTGCACACAGATGACGTCACCCTGCACCTCGGATCCAAAGAGCCGTTTTTGGAGCTCGATTAAATAAATGGTTCGTTTATAATGAGGAGGAGGTTTTAAGCTATGAAACTTGCAGGATGTTTTAGTGGTACAAAGACCTCTCATATGCCAAAAGATCATGGAAAACTTGATTTCTTATGTCACGATCCCTTTAAGAAAGAACTAAGAGAGCTCTAGGGATCACAAACAGCAATCAATCCAATCCTTATAAAACCATCCAAACGAAGAGATTTCAGACAGATGAAACAAACCCAACATGTTGAACGTGGGACGTTTTGACTGTTTCTCCACAGATCAAGGGTCTGGAGTGGCTGGTGTCTCTCTATAACAACAATCTGAACGGGATCCTGGCGGATGAGATGGGTTTGGGCAAAACCATCCAAACCATCGCTCTCATCACGTACCTGATGGAGAACAAGCGTCTGAACGGACCCTACGTCATCATCGTACCGCTCTCGTCAGTCGCAGCCTGTTTTTACATCAACTTTCATACTTCTGTATGTTCACACAGAGAGTCTGTTTGATGAACACTGTTTCTCTGACAGGACTCTGTCTAACTGGGTCTATGAGTTTGATAAGTGGGCGCCGTCTGTCGTCAAAGTCTCGTATAAGGTGAGCGACACACAGAGACGCATGATCTGGAGTAAATCTGAATCAGTCTTAGCTTATCATGTCAACAGGTAAACATGAAAATAACTGTTAATGTTGTAAAACTCATCAATTATGAAATGACGTCAGCAGCTGTACTGAAGACAGGAGTGTCACTTTAGTTTATATTGTGCTTGTGTTCTGCAAATACAGCAACTCTTAAGTCCTTATGATGTTTCTTATGTCGCTTTGAATAAATGTAAATGTTTTAAGGAAGTAAATGGTCAATTTCATGATGACCTTTCAGTGTAGTGAGCCTGTTCTGTTAGTAGTCCTCCCATAAACCCAAGCGCTGGTTTGATCATGTGATCGTGTGTTCAGGGATCTCCTGCTGCTAGAAGAGCCTTCATCCCACAGCTGCGCAGTGGCAAGTTCAACGTGCTGATCACTACATACGAATACATCATCAAAGACAAGCATGTGCTGGCCAAGGTATGTGTGTGCCTCTGTGTGGTCACCTGTGACCTTTGACCTCGGTCAGACGCGCTGATGAGATCCTGTCACCTGACACAGATTCGCTGGAAGTACATGATCGTGGACGAAGGCCATCGCATGAAGAACCATCACTGTAAGCTGACGCAGGTGTTGAACACGCATTACCTGGCTCCGCGGCGTGTGCTTCTGACCGGGACGCCGCTGCAGAACAAGCTGCCCGAGCTCTGGGCGCTGCTCAACTTCCTGCTGCCCACCATCTTCAAGAGCTGCAGCACGTTTGAGCAGTGGTTCAATGCTCCCTTCGCCATGACCGGAGAGAAGGTCCGTCTGTTTAACTAGTGCTGAGCACATCTCTGACACCGAGCCGTTATCACAGACACACAGACTGATTATGAACATGAATGCTAATCATGCTTGTGTTTGTGTGTTAGCCTCTTTCTTATAAGGATGAATCAGACTTTTTTTTATTCATTATAACTTGATTATTTATCAAGAAAATGAACAGAGAAAAGCTAAAGTTAGTCATCGCTCAGGAATGGACTATAACTGTAATAACAACTATTCTAACAGTCATCATGCACGCCAGCAGTCAGTAACGCGGTTTATTTTAAGCGTGCTGCTGTTTTGTCGTCTGCTGCTTTAAATGCTCGAGCTCTTTAAAGTCGAGTGGATTCTGATTGGTTGATTATCCTAGTTATCGTTTTAGTGTGGACTTCACTATTCAAATATAATTAGAGCCATTAATAAAACTTTAGAGTTATATAAACATATAGTTATCATCCTTGAAGATGTCACCTGACATTTCATTTACATTCACACGTTTGGCAGACGATCTTATTAAAAAACAACTTACATTGCATTCAGTCAGATTATAGATTTTTATCAATTCATGCATTTCCTGCCAATCAAACCGGTGACCGTAGCGTTGCTAGCGCTGCCCTTTAGTGACATGAATCTTGAAGCAACCATTTTAAGCAAAGTAGTGAAATGAATTCAAATGTACTTCTATGTTCACATCATTGTGATGAAATAAACTAACCAGTGTGATTCCATCCTGAGCCTTTAATGTGTGATTCTGCTCGTCAAGACACGCTGGGAAATGAAGAGCAGTAGTAGACGTGACTGATGTGTCTCTCAGGTGGATCTGAACGAGGAGGAGACCATCCTGATCATCCGCCGCCTGCACAAGGTGCTCCGCCCCTTCCTGTTGCGCCGGCTGAAGAAGGAAGTGGAGGCGCAGCTGCCTGAGAAGGTGATTCTGATGCAGTCTGTCTGTCATCGCCTCGGACAGATGAAGCATTGTGCTGTTTTGTGTCTGTGTGCAGGTGGAGTACGTGATCAAGTGTGACATGTCTGCGCTGCAGAGGGTCCTGTACCGACACATGCAGGCCAAAGGAGTGCTGCTGACCGACGGCTCAGAGAAGGACAAGAAGGTGAGCAAGAAGAGCTCTCTGGAGATCATGTTCAGTCTGTGTGCTGTTGGATGTCTCGGGGTAAAGGTGTGCGTTTGAACGTGTGTTTCAGGGTAAAGGCGGCACTAAGACTCTGATGAACACCATCATGCAGCTGAGGAAGATCTGTAATCATCCGTACATGTTCCAGCAGATCGAGGTGTGTTAGCGTGTCTGTCGTGGTGTTGGTCATCTGATGAACGCGTTTCATTTCTTGTGCCGCTGAACGTGATGTGCTTCTTTTCAGGAGTCGTTTTCTGAGCATCTGGGTTTCTCAGGAGGAATCGTTCAGGGGTGAGCAGTAGAAATGCTGTAGAATTATCTGACACACATTAGACGTCTCCAGCACTGAACCTTCGTCTCGTCTGACCTGCAGGCTTGATTTATTCCGCGCCTCGGGAAAGTTTGAGGTGCTGGATCGTATTTTGCCCAAATTACGAGTGTCCAATCACAAAGTGCTGCTCTTCTGCCAAATGACGTCCCTGATGACCATAATGGAGGATTATTTCGCTTACCGCAGCTTTAAATACCTGCGTCTGGACGGTGAGCTTGTGTTTCTCTTTGTCTGTAGTTTGTGGTGTTTGTGAAGTATAGCAGGATTATGATTATAATCAGTAGGGGTTTTATGGATGGTAACTGTAATATGATTACTGAAATCTTAATATTAGTAACACTAGTTACTGCCCAACACTCAGGAATATGTTAAAGACGTGGGAACCGGTCGGGCCGACTCCATCATCGTGGCTGGCAGCGGTTACTCAGAGAAGACTAGTGCTAGAAATTATGTTTGTGTGTTTTAGGCACGACTAAAGCAGAGGATCGTGGGATGCTGCTGAAGACCTTCAATGATCCGGCCTCTCAGTGCTTCATATTCCTGCTGAGCACCAGAGCGGGTGGACTGGGCCTCAATCTGCAGAGCGCAGACACCGTCATCATATTTGACAGCGACTGGAACCCTCATCAGGTACCCTTCATCCTCCTCATCCTCCTCATCCTCATCCTCAGCTGGCTCCTCTGATGCTCTCGGTCTGCAGGACCTCCAGGCGCAGGATCGAGCACACCGCATCGGACAGCAGAACGAGGTGAGGGTTCTGCGGCTCTGTACCATCAACAGCGTCGAGGAGAAGATCCTGGCGGCCGCTAAATACAAGCTGAATGTGGACCAGAAGGTGATCCAGGCCGGCATGTTCGACCAGAAGTCGTCGAGTCACGAGCGCCGAGCGTTTCTGCAGGCCATTCTGGAGCACGAGGAGCAGGACGAGGTCAGGACTCTCATTCGGTCTCGTTTAGTCTCTACATTGACCACGTTTACGCGAATGAGAATATCCCAATATTATATACTGTGTATATATATATATATATATGTGTATATGTGTAATTTGCTCTTGTTTTATTAACGACTGCGTCATGTAAACTGCTTAAGTCAAGTCCGAATGAGGCTGGTGCCGTACGATATTATCCTGAATAATTATCCAGAATATCAGCTGTAGCACATCCATACAAATGAGATTCTAAGAAACAAAGCTTTGAGACGTAAAGCACACATTCTGGAGGAGATTCGTCTTACATAAAGAGAAGTGAGAGTGAATCACTATAAGGATGCGTTTAAGGGTTTGTGAGGCCGGATTTGTGCATACATATAATAACTAGTGTTGCACGATACCGGTACTAAAAAGGTATCACGGTACTCCGCTTTTAAACAGCTGAGAAAGAAAACGTGTGTATCAATAAATTGGGTGCGTGACAGCAGTCTAATATTCCTGCTGCTGTCTGTCTCTACAATATTAATCAAAAAAATCACTCACTAATCTTGACTAGCTTTACTAGCTTTAATAAGGATAAATGTTTGAATGTTTCATTCCTACAGTGAAGACTATGCAGTGCTTTACTTTTGTATTTTGATCAATTTCTGTGTCATCTCTTTCTTGAATGCTACTGTTAAACAGACCTACTGTACCTAAAAACACTGTTTATTTCATTTGTGTCTTTGTTTTATTGCATTAATCCTTTTGTTTTTACTTGCATCTATGTTCTTCTTATTAATAACAAAAATGACTATATCCTGATATAAATTGTTATTGTGAAATAAAATGACTCCTAGCGTAGAGTAATATTCTGGTCATATTTCCCTCGGCTAAGTAACCAGTCCTGCACAGATCTCCACACACTGCAGGCTCGTCTGTATCAGTCATGACTTGCTCACTGTAGGCCTGTGGTGACACTGGCATGTGATGTTTTGTTTTGTTTTAAGGGGGAGGAAATGCTCAAAAAGCAGGACAGCAACACTGGTCAAGTGAGAGATTTCTTTCTTTTCTTTTTGTAATTTTTGTCATGGTATCGGTTCAGTACTAGTATCGAGATGTTCTAGTCAAGTCAAAATGTTGGTATCGTGAGAACACTAATAATAACAGTGTTATAACGTTAAGGTGATCTAATAATAATAATAATAATAATAAGATCATCTCCAGGATTTAGCGAGAGAATGTTGTTTTTTCATGTAAATACTTTAGGATTGTGAAGCATCAAGAACTTATTTTCTGTGTTCATGTAAACGTGGTCATGGATTTTTTCTGTGCTTCTAAAGCTCTTCTGATGGCTTGCTGTTTTTGTCTGCATCTGTTTCTCCGTCAGGAAGAGGACGAGGTGCCGGACGATGAGACCGTAAATCAGATGATCGCCAGGAGTGAGGACGAGTTTGACCATGCTCCTGATGCATCCCTCTGTTCTCAGGCGATCGAGGACGGGACCCTGGATGAGATCGAGGAGGAGGTGCGCCACAAGAAAACGTCTCGGAAGAGGAGGCGCGATCGGGATCCGGACGCCATCCCGTCCACTTCAGGCGCTCGCGGGGGACGAGAGAGAGACGACAACGGCAAAAGACAGAAAAAACGAGGTCGCCCGCCGTCCGAGAAGCTTTCGCCAAACCCTCCGCCGCTCACCAAGAAGATGAAGAAGATTGTGGACGCTGTTATTAAATATAAGGAGAAGTGAGTGTCTGAGTCATTTCCAAAAGTGGTTGAGAAAAGTAGAAGCCAGCACTGAGACGTGATCAAGTAGGACAGGAGGTGTTCTGTGTCTTCAGATGTTCTTCATGAACAGGTTTGTGTATGTCCCTCTCAGAACACAACATGGTTGGTCGTGTTACAGCTGATGCGGACGCTAGTAGCTGAACGGTGATGTTGTTCATGATATTGAGTGCTAGTTTGACCTGGATTACCTGCAGGTCTGTTATAGCAGATGTTTTCTCAGGCTCTGGTCAGAGACAGACAGCGGTGAAGGTTTGGAGGTCAGCTGGAGAGGAGATGTTTAGAGGCACTGAGCGTATGAATTATTCCTCACTAAACCTCCGTTACTGATGTGTGTTTGTGTCGTGATGTTCTGAATGTTAGTAACGGCCGTCAGCTGAGCGAGGTGTTCATCCAGCTGCCGTCACGCAAGGAGCTGCCCGAGTACTACGAGCTGATCCGCAAACCTGTGGACTTCAGGAAGATCAAGGTGAGCGAGTGGATCATGAACACAGTCAGCGTCTGTGAGCTCAGGCTTCATTCTGCTGTCGTCTGTGTGTGAGCAGGAGCGCATCCGGAGCCATCGATACCGCAGCCTCAATGATCTGGAGCGAGACGTGATGCTGCTGTGCCAGAACGCTCAGACCTTCAACCTGGAGGGATCACTGGTTAGAGTCACACACACACACTCACTCACACCTCTCACACTCACTCACTCACACTCGCTCTCTCACACACACACACACACACTCTCTCTCTCTCTCTCGCATTTTCCATAAATTGATTGTCATTAAGTAAATCAATGAGTCACCATAAACATTAATGCCACGCGAGGAGAACTCAAAATGTCAAATACACTTGACTTTTTGATTGTTCACCTAATTTGATTACATATACTTAAAGGGGTCATATGATGCGATTTAAAGTTTTTAGATCAACGCGTCTGGTTGCACAGATATTGGTGAAATGGTCAACAACTCTTAATGCAACAGAAAGGACTCTGCTGACTGAGCATGGTGATGGCCTCTGCAACCCAAATCCTACAGACTCTTTTCCTTGTTTGTTTTTTTCTTTGAATCTAGAAGGGGTTTCCGGAGTCTTTTTTGAAGTTGTTGATTCCATGTGTGTAGACTTCTTTTCGAGCACTGGGAAAGTTTTGTATAAGTGTTGTGTGATTAATTTTAACAAAAAAATGTTAAATAAGAAAATTGATACTCCATGGCGTGTTTTTTTTAAGTTGAATATGGATAAAAAGCCTGAGTGGAGAGCACTATATAAACCACCGTTGACTAAAAAAACAGGTGATTTACAGTGGAGAATCCTTCATGGTGCTGTAGCTGTCAATGCTTTTACTTCGATCATAAATCCTGAGATTGATGCTGGTTGTCCTTTTTGCACTGAGAGAGAAACCATCTTTCATACATTTGCGAATTGTGCTAGACTGGAACCTTTATTTTTGTGTGTAGGTAGCATTTTTAAGAATTGTAATGAATCTTTTTCTATGGTGTTATTTATTTTTGGTTTCAAATATGTAATGAGGAAAAGATTTATTTGTCAATTGCTGAATTTTGTTTTAGGCCAAGCAAAACTGGCTATCTATGTAAGTAGAAAGAAAAAGATGGAACAAAATTTGGAACAGAATGTGGTTACATTGTTTTCAAATATGGTGCAAGCAAGAATACTGATTGATTTTAAATATTATAAACATATGGATGATCTTGCTTCTTTTGAAGAAATTTGGTGTTATAATGAGGCTTTGTGTTCTGTTTTCGAAGGCGATTTGGCTTTTACATATTTGTGAGTTGGGTTTGTTTTCTTTATAAATGAATATTGTAATTTAATTGTGTGGTGAATTATATTTGTAATAAAGGATTGTTAAAATTCTCTCTCTCTCACACACGCTCTCTCTCTCACACACGCTCTCTCTCTCTCTCACACACACACACACGCTCTCTCTCTCTCTCACACACGCTCTCTCTCTCACACACACGCTCTCTCTCTCACACACACACACATTCACTCACTCACTCTCACACTAACCTACAGATGCATTTACTCTTTTTTGTGTGTGTGTGTGTGTGTTTTGTGTGTGTGTTTCAGATCTATGAGGACTCTATCGTGCTGCAGTCGGTGTTCAGCAGCCTGCGTCAGAAGATCGAGAGAGAGGAGGAGAGTGACGGAGAGGAGAGTGAAGAAGATGAAGAGGACGAAGGCTCGGATTCAGAGAGTCAGTCAAACTCAAATTCAAAGTTATTTATTTGTGAACTAACCACTAGCTGGATCATGACCATGAACTACTGACCATGTGTGTATATGTATGTATGTATGTATGTATGTATGTGTGTGCGCGCGCAGCTCGGTCTGTGAAGGTGAAGATTAAACTGAGCCGTAAGGACAGAAGCGCAGAGCGCGGCAGAGGACGCAGGAGAACCGCGAGAACAAGAGCGAAACCTGTCGTTAGTGACGACGACACAGACGAGGATCAGGAGGAGGTGACAAACACACACTCACACACGCATGCACACACTCACAAACACACACACAGAACAGTTAGTCTCATCATGTGTGTGTTTGTGACTCTGGTGTTTGTTTAGGATCGGTCCAACAGCGCCAGTGAGGAAGAGCAGGGATGAAGATCCACAGCAAACCATTAAAGATACAAACACACCATACAGTAGAAGAACACAATCATCCCTTCATCAGCACCCAGAATAATCGTTCGTTCACACATTCATCATTAAGAAGGAATCTCTGCCTGTACTGAGATGCTGTGGCTGTTTGATTTTTAGGTTTTCAGACCTGGACGAGATGCTCCTCAGATATCGTCATGTTTCTGTAACGTTTAATATTAGACGTTGCTGTTTTAGAAGAGCAATATTTGTGATCGTCTGTCAAATGATCTAGTATAAACCCAGTAACCTGTCAGTTAATTGCACTAGTGTGTCATTAGGAGAACATTAGCATGTACAGTAGATGTAATAGATTAGAAGCAGCCTGTTATACGAACATATGATTGTTGTTTTGTTGTACGAGCGGGTTGTGTGTGTGTGTGTGTGAAAGACCAGTTTTAAGGCCGTTAACACACTGACCTGACGCTCACGCTTACATGCGCTTGAGGAAAAGTGTTTGGAGGGTTTTTGCAGACAGAAGCTCTCTGAAACACTCATCTTGCGCTGAAGAACTCGAGTAAAGGACAGACGCACGAGAAGCTGCTGCTGACTCAGCGGTTCCCAACCACACTCCTGGACCCCCAGCACTGCACGTTTCGCACCTCTGCTCTGTGCAACACCCATTGCAGGTCTTGGAGTCTCTACTAATGAGCTGATGGTCTGAATCAGGTGTGTGTGATTAAGGAGACATGGAAATCATGGAAATCAAACCCCTGCGCTCGGGGACGCTGCAAACACGGGAACAGTGCTTTCTCACAGAAAGCGGCTTTATGAAGCGGATCCCGGTCTGCTTCCATCTCGTGTCCCTAAATCGTGTCGCTGCTCGTTTGTGTAACGCTGAAATACGCTGAACTCTGTTTCTGTCGCTCGTATTGCTGGAAATCGCCAGCTCTGATTGAAAATGGATGATGTCTGTTGATTTGTAACTGCTGAACGCTTTAGAAGAGAACGGCCCTGTGTGCGTCTGAGTGTTTATTCACGTTAAAACAGGCTTTCTCTTCAGCTCCATCACTAATCAAACACACCTGAACAAGCTAACCAAGGTCTTCAGGATCACTAGAAAGCTACAGCCAGGTGAGTCTGACCACAGCTGGAGTTAAAGTGGATCTGGAGGACCGGAGCTGAGAAGTCCTGTGTTAAATCATCATATCTATAACTCTGTTTCTGGTGTTTTGACGGCTGATCTGCTCTGTTACTGTAGTAGATGAATCATATTATTCCTGAAGTTTCTAGCGGCTCTTTAATGGCATGTGCTCTTACTGTAGTGAATGTATGTTTTTGTGTGTAGATCTTCATTCGCTAGATGAAACCCAATAAACATCACAACCTCATGTCTGTGTTTGTAGTTGTCCATGGCATTTTCTCTGATATACAGTGAAACGCTCAAAGTCTGACCTAATGTGGGCTCGTCTGGTTCTCAGGTGGTTTTCCAGCTGATCCTGAAGGTGTGGGTTTTGTGTAAGCCAGCCAGACTTAATAAATCATTCCTAAATGGGCGTCTTGTAATGCTGGAACCGAGAATAAACCCTCCACAAACTGCTGTATTAAACTCTGAAGCACAGAATCCTCTAGAATGTCACTGTTTAGAATTAAATTTTGACCTTACAGGTATTACTGAAACAGACAAACACACTTAGTGTGTACAACAAACACTGGAGTGTATCTGCCAGGCAATAGTGATTTTGTGTGTAATATGGCACAGTAACCACTAGGTGGCATTCTTGAACAGTTTTAGCGAGTTCACTGCAGATTTCGAGGAAAAGTGACACTGTTTGGAGTCTTTACTGTTTACATCTGAAACAAACAGTGAATGTGATGATAACGTTGCTCTCACAACAACACTGAAGAGAAAAACTTTAGGAAAGCCACTACACCACTTTTTTTTGTTGCCAGATGAAGTTAATATCATTACTGCTGCTCATGTCACAAATGTTCTGAAGACACGATGATGATGATGAGTTTGTGTGTATCTCTCCATTCACACTGTTTTGGACTCATGACTTTAAACACTTCTTCTGGAGCATCAGTAAATGTTTTCATCTGTAATAGTTGTGTTTGAGTCCCTCATTGTCCTCAGTGTGAAAAGATGGATCTCTAATCATTCGGTCAGTGTTGGAAAGGGGTCAAATACGCAGAAGATGCTGGAGGATTTTTCATGAACAGCTATCATAAAACAAAAACAGACATGGATCATCCAGGTAATGACACAGTATTACGGCTAAAGGGTATGTACAATTTTGAACAGATTTTATAAACTGAATTGTCTTGTGAAGTAAATGTAAACATCTGTTGTGAAGCAGCTTATTTTTATTTTAATTTTCAGCAGTTTTCATGATCCCTTTTAAAATGATTAACATTTTGCATATTCTGCAAGGTGTTTGTAAAGCTATAGCAGAGTTGTATTGGTCTTCAGGATCTTCTGCAAACACAGTCACGCTCTCCATGAGTCTGCTTTGTGTAAATCAAGCTGAAGTGTCCATCGCAGGTTCCTGTTGAACTAGAGAAGTTTCTGCTGTAATGATTAACAGTCTGAGGTCGATTCACAAACACTGTTTGTGAGGGACGATCTTCTGAGGCGAGGTTCCTCTCATTCCTGAAGTCATCCAACAGACATTTCAACATTCCACTCATGGTTCAGAGAGTGTGTCATCGTCCTGTCTCTCTCTCACACACCTGTCTGACCCTCGTGAAACTCCCTCTCTGCTTCACAAGCCTGATTCCGCATCACTTTAACCATATTGAACACTATTCAGTTCATTATAAGGTGCATACGATTGTTTTTAACTTTCAGGATATCAAATTTGCAAACTAGTTTTCCTCCGCACTGAAGAGTGATTTTAAATATGCAAAATAATACAAGCATGCCACGTGTGGCATTCAGTCTGAGCTCCTGATATTCAGCGAGTAACTCATCTGTTAATGGAGGCCTGCGGAGCTCGGAAACATCATTTCCCTGCATCTACAAATACAATGCAAATCATGTTCCCTCCGGGTGAGCTGGACGATCCCTACAGACAGATCCCCTGCCAAGACCTGGATGACCAGACGAGTCCTCTGCTCAATCTGACCTGTGCTGCAGCCTGGAATTAACCACACTATGCTGGTTTGGTCTGGCCCCCGACTGAGCCTGGTTTCTCCCAAGGGTTTTTCTCCATTTCTGTCAGCGATAGAGTTTTGGTTTCTTGCCGCTGTTGCCTTTGGCTTGTTTAGTTGGGGACGCTTGACTGATTGCACAGACAATATCACATCACTGAATCAACAATGAACTGACTTTAACTGATAAACTGACTGTTTACTATTGTCCTCTTGCATTATCTACACTATTGTCCTGTTTAACACTGTAAAGCTGCTTGACAATCTGTACTGTATAAAGCGCTATATAAATAAAGGTGACTTGAATTGACGGCGTCACTGTTTCAGTTTTTTGACTGTTTTATTGATGATATTGTAAATAGCAGATGATCTCAGGCTTTATATTCTATGTAATATGATTCCGCTTAAACAAATTCATGTCTGATCCTCATTTCTGGGAAATATTTTTGTCTTCAGTTTGAAATGTTACAGTGCGATCAATATTTATCTCTTATTTTGAAGGAACAGGGACATTCTGAGTATTTGTGAGCTGGTTTCACAGTAAGAGCAGTGTGGGGCGTTTTGGCCCCTGAGGGACCGATTCAAGGACTCGGGGGTTTCAGGCACCATTCAGTCTGCTTGATTTATATTCTGTGACTTATATCAGCCCCGGCCTCATGTAAATGATATTAGCCCACTATCCATGTTAGATATGAGCTTTAAAAAACCCGATGAAGGAGCACAGCGTGTGTTTGTCATGCATGTGTATTTTCAGCAGGTGTGTAACCCGCTTCTCACAGAGTTAAACAGATGCTCGGATACTTCTGTGTCTCATTCATGCTCTTATCTGCACGAGGAAGCGCCCCGTGTGTAAACTGTCATAACGATAAGATAATTAACCGCGAGGCTCCGCCCACAGCGCTGACGTTCCTCATTTCAAATATCACACCACTGGCAGAGCCACGCCCCCCGCCGGCTTCATTCAAATGGCTGGGATTTGCCCCGAGAGGGTAGAACTGCCCTGTCACTGATCACGGGAGTGCGGTACCGGTCCGCTCAAGCATCACAGCGATTCGTGGACCTCTGATAATATTCAACTATTGAAAACGCTGAACAGCGAGCAGTGCCTCCGTGACTGATATCGATATCTGTGATAGATCGGAACGGCGCAGGTGATGGAGATTCGGATCGGCTTCATCTGCTCGGTTCTTCTGCTTCACTGCGTCCACGGAACCCGTGAGTGTCGGTTTATGATGAAGATCTGCTTCTCTATGTGTGATGAGCCTGGTTTCACAATTCTGCGATTTCTTCTGTGCTTTGTTTCTTCCCAGACAGCAGACAGTTTCGGCCCAGATCCGGCCCCCATCTGGCCCGCATGGATTTCACATGGGCCAGATGTGGGCCGGATCTGGGCCATCACTATGATGCTGTCTGGGTTCTTTCTTGGGATTTTCTGATGTTGTTCAAACTCTTCCTGTTCTTGTTTTGCTCTGTGATTCAACGGCGGACGCTGTCTGGGGCTTTTATCTCGGGGTCTGTTATACAGTGTATATAAATGTTTATTAGATCCGGTGTCGGTGTTTTATGATTGTATCGCGCGTGGCCTTCATGCGGCGCTGCGCAGACCGATCGGCGGCTGACTTGAAGCAGTGCATGCCGGTTACAAATTTTGTCCGATTTGAACCGGACGATTTGTGCTACCCTGTCAGATTTTGCTACCTCCAATTAAAGCAGATGGTGGCATAATTCGATAGCGAAAAGTGCTACCTATCAGATTTTGCTTCCAGCATGATATTAATAAGGTGTGAGGCTTTATTAACATGTACACCTACCCCAACCCTAAACCTACCCTTACAGTAGGATAAATACAGTGTTGGTAGCATAATCTGATAGGTAGCATTATTTTGTCAGAACACCAGAGTTGTACCGAATTCTGCACCCCTGCCAGATTATGCACCCGCTCGTTGAAGTCGTTACCTGATTGCCTAATCCCAACCCCACACCTACTCCTAAACCTACCAATACTAGGGGGTGCATAATTTGGCACTACACCGGCGCCGACGCCACGTCACTGTCACGTGTGGCATCAAAGTACCGCAATACTTCGAGAGCAGCCGGTGTTCTGTCGATTTGTGCTGCCCTGTCAGATTTTGCTACCTCCCATTAAAACAGTGGGTAGTACAATTCGACAACAGGTAAAAATGCTACCTGTAAAATTATGGTTTATTAATGTCTACACCTACTCCAACCCTAAATCTACACTTACAGTAATGCAAATACAGTAATTATGTGTTATATTCGCGGCTAGAAGGGATACAACTACAGGAAACCAACAATAAATAATTTTTTCTACCTATTAGATTGTTTTATTAAAGTCTACACCTACCCCAACCCTAAACCTACCCTTACAGTAATGCAGATACAATAAATATTGTTGTTCAGTGTGAGAAAAAGGACGCAATATTGATGTGCGCATGCGCAGTAAACCCTGGTAGGACAATCTGACGGGTAGCATAAAAGGTGCATTCGACTTAACACAGCGCTGCGCAGATCGATCAAATTCTGACTTGAAGCAGTGCATGCCAGTTACAAATTTTGTCCGACTTGAGACGGCGCCGACGCCACGTGACGCCAGATTCACCGCATGACAACAATCACATGTGTTTCGGGTTTATTCTAACCTTTTCAATTCCAATAATGGTCACAAATCTGTGTTTTTAGAACCGTAAAAGGTTTATACTGTAGTCATAATAGTTTACAAGCAGTATATAAAAAGTGTTTCTGTTGCTCATGAAAACGTTTCTGAAATGTCTGTGTATTTGACAAATATTGCATTTAATTCACTTGTTTGAGACGCGCCTCGCCTGAAATGAAGGCGGCTGCAGTGAAGTAAGCGCAGTCAGACGGACAGATCTGACCTCTCGAAGTGAACAGATACCTACGAGATCAAAGACCGATATCGCGTTATTCACACTCACGTGCTGTGTTGCTAATAAACATGATATGATTTCATTTCTGTTGCTTTTAACCGGCATGCATCTCGCGGTGATCACCGGTGATCGGTTCTGCGCAGATTCTGCTCATCTCAAACAAGCCTAGTGAGAGGGAGAGATGGGGAGAGAGAGAGAGAGAGAGATCTGTTTTAGGGAGTGTAGTTCTCCAGATTCAAATAGCTTTATTGGCACGGTGAAAGGAATCTTTACATTGCCAAAGCTTTAATAACACTATACATACAAATATATATATATATATATATATA